AAAAAGTAGAAATATAAAAATACAACTATAAAAATATATAATTTTATTTCAGTAAGTAAATTTAGAAAAAGTTCGTATTATTTCGATGTAAAAAAAAAAACATACTACGATAGTAAAAATATCATAATACGATAGTAAAATATCATAATAGTTTGTAATTATATAATTATAATATATAATTATATAATTATAAAACTAGACTAATTAAAAAAATAATGAAAATTTATCATTGACAATATTAAAAAAGTTAATGAATAAGTATTTACTTACTTGATCCTTATATTTTCAACAATAAAAAAAGAAGATGATTTCTTATGGTATAACGTATACTGTATTGTCTATTAATATTACAAACACTATTACTGAGAACAATAGACCAATATAATTATATACAGAATGCTAATATATTCGTAAAGCAATAAAAATTAATATATAAAAATGTCAATTGCTTATTTTATATTTATTTTAGTTTCAAATTGTTTTAGAATCGATCTCAATTTTTTTTAAATATCTCATCAATTTTATAAACTATATATAAACTATATATATGCATAAATAACAAAATTTAAATAAATAAATAAAAAATTTAAATATAAAAAAGATAAATAAATATTCTATATCTTACAATTCAAATTTCGCGGCATAAATTGATGAAAAAATGATGATGATTTATCTAATTTAATTATTTCGTGACTTTGATTAAAGAATCTCTAATCAAAAATTTCTTTTAAGTTTATCTTTCAAACAAACTTATTAACTTATTATAATATAAAACTGGAATATTATGAATTATTAAAATTTCGTATATAATAAAATATATATATATAATTACCAACAATTTGTATATAATAAAATTATATATTAATAATATTATTATATTATAACATAATATACTTTTTAGTAGTTAAAATATTACAATAAAGTTATTATTATAACTTTAATATATATATCATAATATAAAGTAAAATAAATTAAAATATCTTTTTTATTATAAACTTAATTAAAATTATTAAAAATAATAAAACTTTTTATACTTAAGAAGTTAATAATTTTTCTTATTAATTTGATATATAATTGTATTTTCCAAAAAAACTAAAGATTTATGATGATATTCAAAGTCGAAAATCGTGGTCATAAGTAAAAATCCTGATCATAAGTAAAAATAAAATAGAAATAGTAAAAATTTAATAAAAATGTAATAATAAACACTGACATGCGAAAGAAAATTAAATTAATTTTATTATCTATATATAAAAAATAATCTCAATTAAAATATATATCAAGAAATTAAATTCATTCAATATTGCTCATTAATTTTTCCATGAATTATAAAAAATGGAAAAAATTGGTACTTTATAGGAAAATATATTTAATAAATATTAAACAGAAATATGATGTACACTATTGTCCAAAAGTTTGGAAACAGAATAAAAAGAATTTTAAATAAAACCAAAATAAGTGTCGTATTTAACTTATTTATTACTTATTTATTACAAAAAACTTGCTAAATAATAAAATAATATATGTATACTACATAAAAATGTTAGATACAATTTAAAATACAATTTAGGCATTCGATCTATTAATTTTTGTTTACTTAAAATATTTATCAATGGTAATAAATATTTATTATAAGTGGTTCCTTTTATAATATTTATAAAATATTTTTTTTTTATTTTATGCAAAAATATAATTGTTTCTAAACTTTTGAACGGTATACGTGATATTTTGTATAATTTGAAACAAATTAACATTTTTGAATTATCTATCAAAAAAATCGCAATAATAGTTCAAAAATATCGTCAAAATAAATTTGAGATATATTGTTCATCTTTTTTTTTTTTACGATTTAAAATTCGAAGTGCACGAAATTTAAGAATCGTGATACTACGTTAACCCAATTCGTTGACGCAACTATCTCGACATTATCTGTTCACGATTCGCGTCCATTGTAGTCACTAACAGGTTCGTGAAATTTGATTTTTCGAATTTCGTTGGATTGGAGTGTGGTATTTTGTACAGTTTTTCAATAGGAAAAATCTAGTCTGTAGTCGAAAATATTCACAAACTCTGAATGCGAAAAATGGAAAACGGAAAGCTAATTTAAAATAAATTGTGACTGCTTTATCATGCAGTTTCCTTTCTTACCAACGTCCGAGATTGCTTCTTCTTAACTTTTTAAAAAAAGGAGAGCAGGAAATGGTTGGAAATCACGGTAATTTTAATTCGAACGTTTTGTATTTTTCGAATATGTTAAAACAAAACGAAACAAAACGAAACAAAATGAAGAGGAAAATCGACTCTGAAATATATGAAACGAAAATTAAATACAGATATACAATTATGAGAATATTTTGTAAAGAGGCCGAGATTTATTTATGTGAAAAAATAATGGGAATCCTTGGATTCGATGGGCTTTTTTTTTATTTTCTATCCTTTTCTGGCTGATTTCGTCCAAAAGTAGTCTAAAGATCCGTGAATTTAGACTGGGTCTGGTGCAGGTGCGAGCAGTTGCATACTACTGCTAGAATGCGCAATCTGTAAAAGCATCGATTTTCATATGAACAATTTCATGCGGCACTTTTTTCTACATATATGATGAAATCGAAAAATTCTCTCTTTTTCGATTTCAATGATTTTTAAATATATTATAGAGAAAGAAATTTTGCACAATTTTTTTTTTATACGAATAACTGAATCGAGCTATTTAAAAGACCTTAAAGAAAGATTGCTATTAGAATTTGATGTCTGCACATATATATCATGGCAAAGTATGCGACTATTTATCAATAGTTATATAAAATTTTTTTATTATTGATTTTAAATTATTATATAAATAAATTAAACTTATAAATGCTCTTGAAATAATATTTCATTTTTAATTGGTTTTCTTAAATTGTTGAAAATAAAATTGTTTTATCGCAATCCCTTAAAGTTTGGTTTATTTCCTTTCTTCCTTTCTTTCTGTCTCCTCTTTGTAAGAAATGGCAGAAAAGAATGGTAGTTTTCTCAAATCGGTTGAAAATATTGGCAAGCATCGATAACAGAGATTAGATACGGACGAGGAGCATGGGAGTTGTTCTCGTTTCGAAGATAAGAACAACAAGAAGGAACAACTTTCGAGAGAGATAAATTTACCTGTTGTTTTGGTTGTTTGTACGACTTCCTGGCGTAGACTTTGAGAACTCTGCAGTTGCACGCGACGGACAGCGCTACAGCTAATCCCTGGGTCGATCAATTGATGGACCAACCATGCAAAAGATATATAATGCAGTATAGAATATTGGATAAAAATTTCGAGGCTAAAGCACATATAGCGACATCTATGAAAGATATTAATTCTTTCTTCTGATATGTTTTGACTGGAGCCTGAAGTTTGTTTATGTTCTTTGTCGAACGTGTGAAAAAGGAAAATAAGTAAAAGAGAAAGATGGCTGAGAGTTGAGGTATTCGAAAAATATATCGATGAAACAATACTAATGCAAAGGTAAAATTTTTTTATTCTTGATTTATTTTTTAATGAAACTTTTATTATTTCTTAAATTTTTCTGAATAAAATAAGATAAAAAATATATACAATATAATATAATTTAGATTATATTCATTTACTTAAAAGATAAAGAAGTTATATTATCATTTGTTAAATATGTAAATATAATTTGAATTATATCGTGATTTTATTTTAATCAAAAAAACTTTACAAATAAAAGTTTTGTTAAAAAATAATTGGAAATAATAATTTTATATTATATGTCGAACTTTCTGACATGTGATATTTCTAGATTTTTATTATAGTTACCATAAGTTGATTTTGCAATTATATTTATGTATACGTACAATGACTACAAAAAATATTTGCATATCATTTTATAGTACTTATTTACTATAATAATAAATTTTTAAAGGCTATCACGTATAAAATTTTATTTTGATATTTTATTTTGATATTATTAAAAAACATTAACATTAATTAATATTATATATTTATAGTTATAGATTTTATAAAATTCAAATAAATATTTATTGCTTAAAATTTTTAACGATATATTGAATTGATGGATTGAAGAATTATAAACGAAAAAATAAAAAAATTTTTTCGGACAGATAATAATAAAATAACGAAAATAAAACTATTTCATTTTATCTTCATTTAACATAAATTTCAATTGTTTATAACTTAAAAATATAATAAATCAAATAAATGACATTTTTGTATACCAATTTTTTATTTATTATTTTTTATTAGATTTATTTATTATTATTTATCAATTTTTTATCAGATTGATCCAAAACTGATTCTTCTATGAATATATTAACATTATATATATAATGAATGCTATAAAAAATTATTTTTTAATAAAAATAATAAATAAAAATAAATTCCATAATTAAAACAAATAATTATTAAATATATAACAAATTAAATTTATTTATGTTTTTATGTTAATTAAAATGTATATTTTTTATTTATTATTAAATTTATCTTATTTTGTGTGAAATCATTGTATTCAATATAATATAATATAATTATATTATAATCTATAAGAAACAATATACTATCAATGAAAATATTGACTTTTAAAAAATATCACTTTTTTTTTAATTAAATTGCGACAGATGTTTTATTTTTTTAATATAAATTTTGAGATAAACATCAAATTCTTAAATACATATCGTTGTAATATTGAAATTTTTGTTTTGACTGTATATTGATTTACAAAAAGATTGAGAATCATCGTAGTATTAAATACATGATTCTATTTTATTTAAAAAAAATGAAGTTAATTTTCACATGATTTCTATATGTCCAAAATATCATTAACATCAATATTTTCTTCTGCACTATTCATTTTTTATCTGGAATATTTTTTAATATTACTATATTAGAAACGAGCAAGATATTCTAGGTATTTTAATCAAATTATTTTCTTTACAAATATTATATAACATGAATATCATAGCACTTAATACAAATATTATATATATACCCAATCACAATATATTTTCTTAGACGTTCTGTATTACTTAGTGAAAAACGTGATCTTCAATAGAAATTTACAAATCTAAATATATTAGCCAGGACAAAATAATTTAACTAAAAATCGCGTGGTCACGTAAATACTAACTTCGGCTACGTCCCCTAGGGAAACAATAGAATGGCTAAAAATAAAAAAAACCAAATACAATTCAAAAAAATTTGTTAAAAAGAGAAAGGGAACTGCTTCGTTCGTTAAAGTAGCCAATAATTAAAAAGTTTTTGGTAAGATTCTATTGACTAATAAAGTTCAACAAACACATTGCTTGATAGAATATTAAATAAATTTCTTTATTCATTATGCTCTGAGTTCTTTTAGTGAATATATGTTTGGGAGTGATTCTCATTATTGGAAGGGGAAATTTCTTTTTGGAGCCAATAAAACAAATAATTTTAACATAATAATAATAATAACTAATAACAGTAAATAAATTTTTTTAAATATTTGGTCTTCTAATTTCTCTTTGTTTTTTTAGTAATTACAATTTTCTATCATCGTATATCGATTTTTGTAAAATGAATAAAATGAATAAAATTGTAAAATGAAATAAATTAGAATTTTATATTTCTAGCAATTAAAAAAAAACAATTAAATAGAGCATGTAATAAATATTTAGTGACGAAAATTATTGAATAATTTGAAGATATTTTTTTTTTATATTAAGATTTATAAAGAATTAATTATTAATTATTTCTTAAAATATGATGAATCGATAAATTATTACTTCATTGATTTTAATGGTCTTAAAATATGTTTTAAAAGTCATTATTTTGTGAGAAATTTTAAAGTACAGTGATTTATATATGATGTAATTTTTTTTTAACAGAATATTTTCTGAAGAAATGCTTAAACTTTCAGTATTTTTTTTGTATTTTAAATATAATAATATAAGATAGTATAAGATAGAGCAAAATTTTAAAGTATTTTTTTTTTAAATTTTTAGAAAATTCAAAAAATGAAAGTACTAAAAGAATACTAAAAAACTTTAGAAATTTCATTTTTTCAAAGAAATTTCTTGTTAATAAAAATATTGCTTCAAATATAACTTATATTATATTTGAATTGTTTTATGTGAATTTTTATTAAAATTTTTTATTAAAATCATTTTTGAATTAGATAAATTTCTGTTAATAAGATAATTTTCCAATATTTCTGGAAGTTATTGTACATTGTAATTAACTAGAGAATAATCATACTCAATTAGTATTACTAATCGACAGAATTTCAAATTAATTGCATAAAAATATATTTCATATTTTAATTTGCATTTGTTACATTTTTTCGCAAATATGAATAGCTAAAATATATGTATAAATTTTGATATGAAATAATTATTTTGCGATTATTGATTATCATTAACCACTTCAATTGATTTATAATTTCTGACATAACTGCCAAATATCAAAAAATGTTTAAAATGTTAGAACTGAAATGGACATAATGTAATATCAAAACAAACTTGCAACGAAATTTATACTTCAAATGACAATTGTCGTTCAGTAATCGTAGTATAATAATCGACGATAATCGTTGACATCTCGTTAAGAAAATATAATTTTCCTAAAAGCAAAGATAAAAACGCTTTTAAATTAAATATTTTTTTAAATATTTTAAAATTAGTTTTAATATTTCTTTTCAATTCTGGTCATAATGAATAAATATGTATATGTAAAGATATTTCTTGGCAAAAAATTTTTTGAAAAATGATAAATTTGTTTCTCGTACAATAAATTTCATAATATTCAAATTAAAATATCTTTTAAATTTTTAGACTAATATCTTATAAAATTCAAATTGAAATATCTTCTAATAATTTCTATTTAATTAATATTTTTTTATAGAAAATATTTTCTTTATAGAGCTACATCGATGGATGCTGTATTAAAAAATATATATATGTATATAATTTTACTCACAAAAAACAAAATTGACCTTTTCTCACGAAAAATCTAATAACACAATATGCTTTTTTCAATAGCACTTAACTTTTATCTGAAATATTTTTCACTGTCAATCAAATAAGACACTTTCTATAACCTTCAATCAGAATATACATATATTTTTCTTTAAAATTAAAAGAGAGATATAACTTATTTAGATATAATTATTATTTTTTAACTATATAAAATAACAATATAATTCGTAAAAAAATTAATTTTTTTTAAAGAGATGTTTGTACTTTTGCTTTTAATTTGTTGAAATTTTCGGCTGAAAATTTTATGATTTTAATTTTATATTAATTTTATAATTTTATATATTATTAATAAATAATAATTTTTCTATATAACTATCAATCAGCAAAAATATACTTTTTTCGAAACAAAAGTTATGCACAACATAACAATGAAATTCATATGAATCAATCTTTTTAAAGAGATATTTGTACTTTGTTTTCATTCCATTTCTTCATTTCATCATGTGAAATTTTCGATTGAAACGTTACATACCAAGCAGAAATAAGATTTGGTTCGTTATGAAAATTTTACGATTTCCTTTCCAGGAAATATTCTTGAGGCTTTTTTGCACCCTTTCTCCAACGGAATAAGTAAAGTATCAGTAGCGAAACAGAATCAGTTTCAACAGTAGTTTTGGCTTCGTTTCGTATGAATAATTCGGTTTCGTTATGGTACAGATGTTTCGCATTTACCAACCGTTTGCCTTGAAACTCGCGTGCCCCAATTTCCAACCATCTTTCGCCTATGCTTCAAAGCGCCCTCTTTGAGAAATTACTTTAAGTGAATGCGTTTTGGATTGTGTAATAAAGCATATTTTTATCATAAAAGACGTAAATCTTCAACGATAAATGGGATAATTTTTTGCAATTTTTGAACAAATTTTCACATAATGGAAATAGAAATATAAAATACTTTGAAAAATGTGGTTTTGTAAAAATTCGTTTAGAGATTTCTTTTTTTTTTTTTTTTTTGTTAAACAAAAAACGGGATTTGGTTTTTTAATATTTTTTTTTAAAAAAAAAAAAAAAAAAAAAAAAAAAAAATAAAAATATAAGATCCTTTTTAAAAAAGATTTTATAAAGATAAAATTGTTGGATAAACTATGCTACAAAAATATGCTTCAGAAGTGTTTTAATGATGAAAAAAAATATTAATATTAAATATATGAAAAATTTACTTGAAAAAGATATTGAAAAGTAAATAAATATTTTTTTAAATTAATAAGAATGAACTGAAAACTTTTTTTATATATCTCTATGTATCATAAGTTATTGAATAATATATAATATTATATAATATATATTTAATAATATATTTAATAATATAAAAATATTATAAATATATTTAATAATATATTTCAGAATATGAACAAATAAATATTAAAATTGTAAATTGATATTAACATTTACTTAAAATAATATTAGTTGCAAGGAAATATTATATTTTTAATAAACTTAATAAATCTACTTTAATTAAATTTTTTTAAGCACTAAACAATAATAAAAATATTATTAAAATCAAATTTAAATTAAATAATATTATAATATTATTGTTATTCAAATTACAAAAAATGTATTTAAGTAATAACATAGTTCATTACATTTCTTTTTAACATATAAATTTGAAAACAAATTTTTAATTCAAGAAAAATATAATAGTTTAAATATTTTCTTTTTAAAATTATTTATTGTATGATTGTATTATTAGTTAGTTAGAAGAAGAATTCTTCATGAAAAAAATATTAAATATTTAAAATATTATAATTGTGATATTAAAAGCAAATTAATGCTGCTATTAAGCTATATTTAAAATTGATAAGTGTTCGATAAATTAAGGATATGTATTATCAGATTATTGCAAATGAAATGACTGCTTTTGAATTTAAATTACTCAATTATATATAAAAATATTGCCCAATTATATATAATTGTAAATAAAAATATTATATTTTAAATAATTATATAATTAAAATAACTTCAGATGATTAGCATCATGATACAATTATATTATCTTTTTATTATGAAATTATTTTATTTTAAGAAGATATAAAAATTTTTCAATGAATTACAAGTTTTTTTATTTTTACTTTTTTTCTGAAAAAATATTTTAATTGTTTTTTGAATTAATTAAAAATGTATATATTAAAATATATTATAATTCTCTGAATGCAATTTCATATCTTCTTGAAAATCATTTTCAATTATATTTATTTAAATAAAAAACAATTTAAATAAAATTATAGATATTTATTTATTTATAGTTAGTTAGAAGAAGAATTTTTTATGAAAAAAATATCAAATATTTAAATAATTAATTGTGATATTAATAGCAAATTAATGCTGCTATCACTATTTGCATATGAAATATATATATTTTTTTAAATACTATTACGCCATTTATACTGCAAACGCCATATAAAGTAAAAGAAGTCAAGCGATAAAGCGGAAGTTCGAATTGTGAGAAACAGCAATTTCATTTGTAATTTGTGTTATTTATTATTAAACAATTATTAATTACCTGAAGAGAATGTGCAGTGCAGAATACAGCCCAAAGAAAAGGGATTTTCCAGATCCTAGATGCAACACCGCATCCAGCTACGAAACCCACTATCATACACACTTTTAAAAATAGAATCATTTGCAACGCTCTTCTTCTTTTCATCTTTTCGCGTTGCTTTATTTCCAACTGCATACTGCATGTGTATCTGCACAAACAAAATCAAAAAAAAACATTTTGTTAAGATATTAAAAAAAATATAATACATTTTCGATCGAAAATAATTATAGATATTCTAGAAATATCAAAATGATAAAACATAACGAAATATTATCGATTTCATGTGTTTTATATTTTGAGTTTATTTTCTTATGTTAACCAAGCAAGAATATACTAGTATAATTTGTATAAAAAGGAACAGAAATAGATAGCAGTATCAGAATCAAACGTAAATTAATTTAAGAGAAAAAGTAGTTTATATCAATATAATTGCAAAAATATAAAGGAGAGATATATTAAGAAAAATTAATCTACGTTGTAAAATTGAGAAGAAATAAAAAAATAACTAACAAAACACACGGTGTTTTCAACATGGCATTCATCTAAGTAGTTCTCAATGTAGCTTGACTTAGATGATGGAATGAGAACCAATATTTATCTATTTACATAGTATGATCATTGGCTCAAATTATCATCTATATATCACTAAAATATGGTACAAATTTAAAAATAATTGAAGGAAGATATAAATTAAACTGATTTAATTAATTAAATATGAAAAAATATTTTCAAGCAAGTGATACAATGATCAGGAATACTATATCAAAATAGTATTTTGTCGAAATATAATGGAATTTTAAAATTATAAAACTAAATTTTCTGAAATATATATTTTTATTTCATTAGTTGATCAATTATATTACGATATTGAGGAAAATGAAATCTTCAAATGGATAATATAAAAATATTTTTATTTCTTGAAAAATGATATAGAATTTTTCAAATAGATTTTTCTTAAATTTTTCTTAAATTTTTTTTTTTTTTTTTTAAAATTCTCAAGTTGATCGGGATTCCGCGATTTCTAGGAACGGCACTGAAGTTAAAGTATAATACACAGTTATCTTTAATATTTATTGCGTTTCAATTAATCGGAAGATAAATATTTAATTTACATCAAATCCGAATTATGTAGTAAACAAATTATATTTGGCTATGATTTAACATTAAATGAAATAATATTTTCAAATTATTATTTGTTTGTAGAAATATTTCGATTTTCTAATATTTATATTAACTTATTTCGAATTTTTTTCAGCTTTAATTATATCTGCTTCATATTCATTTCTATTATTGTACTAGTTAAAAATCCAATATAATATAATATAAATTTAAAATATTTTTGCAATATGTCCAAAGAAAATATATGTATAAAATATAATAGAACATGGATTATTCAAATGATTGATTTTATTCGAATACAACAGAATAAATATATATTTTAAACTAATATAATAATATCTTCATTCTAGAATATACATTTCTGATTAAGATATGATTAATTTAATTTAATTTATATTCTTTTTATAATTTTTATAATTTTTTCCTAATTGTTTCTCTTATATATATATATATTTTTATATATTAAATATCCATTATTCAAAAATTATTCAAAGTTAATCTTCAATTCTTCTTTTCATCTTTTTAATTGTTTCGTGTTATATTGAATTTCAAAATTTAATCCCTGTTTGTTCGAACAAATTTGTTCTCCAATTAGTTCAGATAACATCCTATTATATGTAGAATAGTGCTTTAATAAATATTTTGCTTTAATAAAATTCGATTCAATCGACTTTTATCTGAACAGTACTATATGAATATAAATATATTTCATTAATTAGCAAAAAGTATTGCTTATTTATTATTATATTACATAAATTATAATTAAATACTTTTATTATTTATTTACATACTTATTATTACTTATTATTACTTATTATTTGTATTAATATTTATATATTTATATATAAATAATAAATCACTAATAAAATATACGAAACAAACTTATTAAATTAATTCATAATCTTGTCATAATATGTTGGCTAAATATTTTATCGTATTTAGTTATTTGTCTTCAATAATATTTAATACTTTTCATAATTATTTAAACAGTATTAGATAAATAACTTCTGAAAAAGATTAGCCTATTGTTTCAATTTCAATCATTCATTCACTTTACAATATGGTTGCAGACAAAAGTTTATAACCATTGATCGATCCAAAAAACGTTTTTTATTTAATCAACAAACAAGGAAACAGTGACAGAAACTCGATTCAATTTGTTCGCTCCGATAAACAAATATGGTACCCACATATCACTTCAATGTGCACTCAATTTTTTAAATGTCAAATTCGATTTATCAAAATATTGAGTTTCTCAATAATTTAATTGGTGATGAAATTTAAAGATACTTTAAAAAAATTGTGCAGAATATCATCATCTATTACAGAAGATTGATTAAAATATGCTTCATCAAGATGGAAATTAATCATTTTGACAGTTTGAATTGTATTCAATATAATATTCTGATACAGGCATCCTGAATGTTTTTTAATTAATATTTTTTATAATATATATATAATATATATAAATTTTTGATATATTCTTTTGAAATTCGTAAAACATATATTAAATGATATAAATGGATGTTATATTCCATTCATCTTCAAATTTCTCATTCACAATTTAATCAAAAAAAAAAAAAAAAAAAAAAAAAAAAAAAAAAAAGATTTTTATAAAAATTATCAAAAAATAATAATTCAATATCGTTCTTTTCTTCAAATTTTCCTGAATCCTGTTAGTAAGATACAATTGCATCTCTCCTATAATTATTCTAAACTAAAATTCCTTGTTGCCAAAGAGAAATAATAGTTTGTCATATTATCAAGCCAATCCATAAATCGATAGATATTTCTTACGAGCTTGTCGAAAGATTAATAGTAAATCAACCCGAGCGAAGATTCGATTTGTTCCACTGAATTATACATAGTCACTCGCGATGAAAATCGAACAAGCGTTCGAGCGTACAGTAACCAATGAATACACAATGCATTCTCTTCTTTTTTCGTTTATTTCTCAATTTGATTTTTTTTCTCATGAACAGATTTATGGATCAACGCAGCTAATGAAACTAAATGAGTTTACGAAAATTGATATACCTGGACACAATTGCAGCTTTGATTAAATAATAACCGGCGGAAAGAAGCAGCAGGAAGACTGGCAAACCATACGTATAAATCGTTGCCTTCGTTCCCATAAACCTGTAACAAATTTTCGAGCCAATTATCAAAATTAGTATTATCATAATCATGTTATAATCATATTCTGTATATTTGTAAATATTCAACAATTATGCGAATATATATTATATAAAAGAATATATATA